TATCTTTTTTTTTTTTGTTTTTTTTTTTTCAGTACCAGGGATCAAACTCAGGACCTTGCACTTGCAAGGCGTGGTGCCACTGAGCTAAATCCCTGGCCCTCGAACACCTTTTTTAACTAAATCATAGTTACTAATATTTTTACTAAAGAATAGTATAGCAAAGTGAAGGGGAAAAAAAAAACACCCACATTGGTACAATGTACCTATTCATGTCAGAATAACTATTGCCTAAATCTCAATGACAACTCAATAATCTACCAACATCTGACACATAAAAACTAAGGTAAAAGAAAGGACAAGGGAGCAGATAATAAACATAGTCATGGGAGTAGAATCAACCAGAAAGAACTTCATAGGTGGAGAGGACTCACTGCCCTTCTTGGATACTTTCTTAATGTAAACAGAGAAGTCCTACAAGGAAGGAGTAAGAAATGAAAGTAATGGGGTCAGCCAGGGACAAGGATTCACTCTTTGAGGGAGCAGTGAGCCTGGCTGACTTTTCTTAAGTATCACAATCTCATGAAATGCAAACTCATCTGCAAGGAAGTGCAAATCTGAGTTGTTAATTAAACACCTAGTTGGTAAACAAAAGGATGAAGCCTGAAAATGCAGCATAATTAATTTAGTGGTGGAGTTTCCATCCTCACCTCCCAACTGTTGATTGACTCATTTCCAAAGTCAGACTGCAGAACCCTTGGGCTGTGACTGGAAATGAAGAATGAAGATTAGTTTAGGTGCTGACACCTTTTTATTCATCACAAACTAGGGTGCTGGACATAGCGTAGAACTTTCGAAGCATTCAATGAAAGCCAAGCAGTAGTCAATAAAAGTCAAGAAACAAGAAGGTCCCTTGTTTCAGTGGAGGAATAGAGAGTTCCTCTGCTTGCTGCTAAGTTTCCAGGCTGTCAAAACATGAGAAAACCAAGATGGTTGGTGGTTTTCATTGTAAATATTCAGCTCCAAACAAATACCTTAATTCACTTAGCAGCCAGATGATCTATTTTGACTCATGCTGTCAAGGTGGTGGAAAACCCAGTGAAAACAACAGGAGGAATTAGATGAGACTAGATTAAGTCACATACCTATTGAAATGGGTGGAGAGAGGTAGTGATTCATGGCAGGACTAAGATAAGCTTGTTCTTTCCCTGTCAACACTAAGTGGTCCAAAGCCCGTTTTCTGAAGTCATTGTAGAGAGGAGGTTCAGTTTTGGTAAATAGAAAGTAAACCTCCTCAGAGATACACACATAGGACTTCTGGTGTGATGCTAGAGGTCAGTGCCCATGGGTGATAAGACATCATCATCCCAATCAGTGGGACCTGGTGCCTCTCAGACATGACTTGATCATGTATGCGAGGGACACTCACATGAAGAGCAAGAAGAGAAATGGGATCAAAGCAAGGAGGACTTTGGCCATCATTAAAAAAAATTTTTTTTTTTTGTGGTACTGGGGATTGAACTAAAAAAAATTTTCTTTAAAAGTATCCAATCTTCTTTTAGAAAAAAGAGATGAAAGTTTTCAGTTTTCTTTACTGCCTATTCTTTTTTTTTTTTTTTTTTTTTTTTTTGGTACCGGGGATTGAACTCGGGTCTTTGCGCTTGCAAGGCAGGACACCAAACTCCTGAGCTAAATCCCCGGCCTTTACTGCCTATTCTTAACATATAATTTCCAGATCTGAGACTTTAGTGGTTTTATATAACCCATTACTGGTAAAGATTGATATCACTGCGTTTGGGGATGGAGATTTTCGATGACGGAACTCCAAAGTTGAACCTGATCCACACTGAGAAGGTGTGGAGCCCCTGAAGTGTATCTGTCCTTCCTGTTTGTTGAGAGGTGTGTGGGATCACCGACCTCCTCTCTAGTAAGAGAGAGAACTTCTGGCCCCCTTGCTAAAACCTGTCTCAGATACCTATCTTTCCGAAGGGACGTCCCAAGCCTTACCTGTTGAGGTTGCCCTCACAGTGTTCAATCAGTTTTGAAGGGATAACCACCATGTCCTTTGCATTGCTTCTATTGAAAACCCAAGGGAACTATGATAATGCCATAGTGTTGTGAGAAGAGGCCCCGATCTGGAGTTAGAAGACCTAGGATGCAGTCTCGGATTTGCACCCGAGGCCTGATGGGCAAGTCACTGTTTCCCGTGGGCTTTACTGTAAGATGAGGGAGTGGGGGAAACCTTCACAGTCCCTCCTACTTCTGAAAGTTCACTCATCTGTGAAGTGTTATGGTCTGGGAATGTGCCAGGAGGAACTTAGAGCTGAGGAGACATGACTGATCTCATGACAGGAATCAGAGCTGCTCAGCTTCCTTCCTGGCCCACAAAGTGTCCAGGTGACAGAAGACATGCTCAAGCATGACAATCAGCTCAGGAAAGAAGACTTCTAGCTTGCTCTCTTGTGTTCCTCCAGTCCTCTCCCTTTGGAATAATCATGTTGAAATGATAACCTAAATAAAATTCCACGATATGTAGCATTAGGTTATCAAAGCTCCTTCTGTCCTGCTTTTCATGCCAGAAGCATCACATTGGAACTGATTCGGAGGAGACAGGGCAGGAAGCACCCAGCCCTTCCTCCAGTAAAATTAATTGAAAACCTCTTGCAGAGAATTACTCTATTCTTTGAACCTCTATGAAAAGATTTCTCTGTTTGTCCCTAACTTAATGTTTACCTGCCCTCAATGTGAATAGCTGGCTGAAGGATTACAACATATTATAAAGTTGGTTGAAAATTTTTGACACTACATTTACCTGGCACAAAATTCAAAAGACACAGAAGAATATCCAAGGTAAAGGAAGTCTTCTTCCACCCCATCCATACCCTACCCTATTTCTTCCTTGGAGACATCCATGTTTTCCAAAGTCTTGTGTGTCTGCTAAAAGATACTCAATGCAGAGACTGGGGGTGAAGCTCAGTGGTAGAGCACTTCCCTAGCATGCACAAAGCCCTCAGTTTGCCCTCCAGCAGTGCGGGGGGGAGGCACTCAGGCCTGGGGATTTAGCTCAGTGGTGCCGCCACCTGCCTTGGAAGTGCAAGGTTTGATCCCTGGTGGTGGTGGGGGGGGAAGCACTCAATGTATATACAGTATAAGACTTTGCAGCAGGATAGCACACACCTGCAATCCTAGCACTCTAGGAGGCTGAGGCAAGAGCCAGCATGGACAGTTTAGTGACTTAGCAATACCCTGCCTCAAAAGTGTTTGTTTGTTTGTTTGTTTGTTTACAAAGGGCTGAGATGTAGTTCAGTGCAAAGGGTTGGGTTCAATCCCATGTATTGGAGGAAAAAAAAGACTATAAATTATGTTTCTATTTTTTCCTTTTATGAATAGAAGCACAATACATACTATTACATAAATACTTTTTTCTTTTAAAGCTGTATTTGGAAGGTTTCCATTTTAACATACATCGAACCACCTCATCGCCATCATTGTTGTTGCTACTTTTGTTTTTGTGAGACACCATGTAGTTCAGGCTGGCTGTGGACTCATAGTGTAGCACAGGCTGGCCTTGAACTTGCAACAGTTTTCTTGCCTCAGCCTCCCAAATGCTGGGATTACACACCCAGTTGTTGTTGTTATTAATGGTGCTAGAAACTGAATACAGGATCTTGCACGTGTTAAGCAAGCTCTCTGCCTCTGAGCTGCATCCCTAGCCATCCATTCTTTTAAAATAGCTGCATAGTATTCCATTATATAGATGACATGATTTATTCAGCCTTCTATTAATAGATATAACGCTACTATATAAAATTGTCTTTCAGTGAACACCCTTGACCATACTACAATGGCTTGTCGTGCAACTATTTGTGCTGTTAATTTTATTCTCATGTGTAAATGTCTACCTTTTCAATGAGATTGCAAGTACCCAGGAGAACTGGGGCAGACATTGTGCTATCCTGTGACTCCAAAAACAAAACAGAGATTGAGTCTCAGATAAATATTGGATGAATGAATTGAACTCCTCGGTTATGCTTATGACACTTTGGAGAGTAGCAAATGTTATTTGAAATGTTAAATGACTTACCTGCATCATAGAGAGCCAGCCAAAGGAGGAACATCAATAAAACAAAATGCAACAGGCCCGGGAATTTAGCTCAGTGGTTTCACTGCCTGCCTAGCAAACGCAAGATCCTGAGTTCGATCCCTAGTACCAAAATAAATAAATAAATAAATAAATAAGCAACAAATGAAAATGAAGCAGGTTTTTAGAATATGTTCTAAAAGTATAATACTTTCCCAGTGTTTACATGCGCAATCAGACGAGATTACCCCATTGGCTGGCCTGGCAAGAGGCATAAACAACTCCTCTGGAAAAATCTGTCATCTTAGGAGGAAAGCAAATGTCTCTAACTTTTGGAATTCCATTTAGTAAGTGTTGTAGTAAATGTTGGCGTCAGCTCACAAAACAGTGCCCCGGTGACCCGGTAAATCGCCCAAAGTGCCTGACAGTCTAGAGGAAGATTTAAAAAAGAGAAGGATGAGAGAAAAAAGGAGGATACATCAGGAGGAGGAGAAGCACACTCTGACCACATGACAACTCTGGAATAAATCTGGAAATAGAGAAGGAGTAGATGCCTTTAATTGTTCTGCACCAGCTGTCATCAGTGATACAGAAGAAAATGTGCCTTTGTTAACAAATGAGGAGTGTGTTGTTATCACGTTTAATGTACACTCATTATAACTGGGTAGTGTGAAATGTGTGTTCTGATTGGTTGGTCTCAAAACAATTATGTCGCCATCTCATAGCTTAAAGATCATATAGCTCTGGAATTTTGCAACCTGGTTAGCCCTTAAAAACAAAAACAGTTTTTCATACACATAAATGTATCAATATTTTCTGGGATTTTTAAACTCTCCACCTAGAGTAACTCTGGTATTGACATCAAGTTTTTTTTAAATTTCTTTCTTTCTTTCTCTTTTGAGGTAGTAAGTTTCTTTCACCCTCAGGGAAAAGGAAGAAAGTATTGAATTGCTTGTTTTCTCTGTCCATTCTCTCTTTTCAGTGACATGAAGGAGGGAGCAGACCCGTCTTGTGGAGGAAGAGTATCTCAATTCATTCTTTTACCCAACTCTCAACTAATAAAACCTTGTCATCACACTTATGGGTTGGAAAACAACAAGCTAATGCTCCGACACTGGGGACTAGGAAGTGTGGATGCCACACAGTCCTGAAATGCAAGAGTAATTGGGGAGCATAATTATCCACGGTGGCAGTGTGACGAGGGACGGAGGCTGACACTCCTAAGCTTGAGTAAAGTGCCCTGGAATCCCAGTAGCTATTGAAATGATCTACATTTCAAGTTCCTGCCTCACCCGAGTGCTGGCAGCTCTCACAACCAGGCCCACCTGGGCACATGTGGCCCTGTCCCATAGGGCAGCCAGCCATGTGCTGAGTCATCAGTTCGTCCAAGAACTCTGAGCCAAGAGCTACAGCACAAGGCCACCCTGTTTTCCTTTGCCTCCCAGACCAAAACACTGCCAGGCACAGTGGCTAGAAGGGAGCGCCACCAGCGAATGTTTCAACAAGACTTTTAAATGCTAATACAACTTTATTAAAATGAGCAATGCACTTTACACTCACTAATTTGTAGAAGTGGACTTAGAGGTCATCTAGTTTAACTGCTTCATTTTACAGATGTGGAAAGAGATGTGGAGAGGTGACCTGTCTTGCTGAAGTCACCCAGCTGGCCAAACCAGGAATAAACCCCGGTCTCTTGATCACCTGCCCCCCACCACAGTGCTCCTTCATCTCATGACACCAGCATTCCCCTTACCACCAACACCCTCCGTGTTGTTACAGCTCTCCAGCACATTCTTTTGCAATAAAATAATGGCTGGCTGAAATATTTTACGCATCCCGATATGACGCTTGGACAGTTGAAGGTAAAACCTAGGACGCCTCAGCAGAAATGGCTTCACATATTATTTTAAAAGACAACAATTTAAATTAAAAAAAAAAAACAATTTAAATCTTGGTTTATGGACTTACTCAGAAATTCAAGTTTCAGAAAAGCTACATAAAAAACAAACCTGTAGTCCCATTTCAAGGAACCAATCATCTACTCTTAAACTGTCATCAATTTACAGCAACTCAAATTTTCATTTTGGGACATAGCCAGATTTAACAATCATTATTGTTATTCTGTTCTAGCATTTCCCCATGTGAGGTAGTACATACATAACAAGTGGAAGATGGAATTTTCTATCAGACATCTGAACCCAAATATAGTCAGAATGTACATTGTTCTTAGCCTAAGGATGAACACATGCAAAAGAAACCTAAAACACCTATAAAATTAAAGTTGAGTTATAAAACTCAAAGTTGGGTTTTGTGTTTCCTTTTGATCACTCTTAGCAGATATTAGTATAATTTATAAGGGGAAAATTCATCAAATTTTACATCGCTCTCAATTCTTTGAAGTCAAGATCCTGGTCTTAAACTGGGCATGGTGGCACACACCTGTGATCCCAGCATTTGGGATGCTGAGGCAGGAGGCTTACCATTAGTTCAAAGCCAGCTTGGGCTGCATAGTGATTTCAAAATCAACCTCAACTATATAGTGAGACCCTGTTTCAAAAAACTACGAAAAAAGACCCTGGTCTTGTTCATAACTGACCCTCAAACTCAGGCTCGTATGATATTTGAAGTATAAACAACAAGCAATAAATATTCCTTGAATGAACTAATGAATGAGTGAATAAAAATGCCGGACTTATCTTGCATTATGAGAATAACAAACATACAACTTGAGGAAAATAAATAAATGAAAGAATCTTAGGGTTCATGTACTGGATCAACCTATCTGACAGAAGGATGTAAAAATAAAATGGTCAGTAAGGAAGATTTCCTAAGCATTTTTCCCCCTTGGGGAAAATGGGTCAAAAGAACACAAAAACCACATGAGTTACATTTCATGGATCTTCCCCCAAATTTCTAACCTGATAGCTAGTATACAACAAAGTGTAGGCTTCAAAACATGTTTAAAGCTACATCTGTCTTTAAATATCTGTGTGTTTTATGGACTAAGACTGCTCTGCTGAGGTGGCTGTGATTTAGGAAAGTCACAGCTCTGATGATAGTGACAGATCATTTTCTGTGTGCACTGGACTAAACTTTTTTCTCAAGTTTTCTAATTTATTTTATCTTTCTGGGCTTCTCTTTTCTTCATATGTAAAATGAGAATAATAAATGTATCTTAAAAGGAATTTGTGAGGATAAAATTGAGATAATGATTGGGACAGACCTAGTAACTTGTACTGAATAAAATGTGAGGGATTATTTCCATAATTATTGTTAAACTGTAGAAGCCCCAGAAGCTGCACTTAAGGTTCGTTTTTACTTTCTGTTTCTTGTACTGGAACGATGCCATTTTAAATGAGCACTACAGAGGAAAATAGACATGACTCATGAATCATATGTTCTCTGGAACCTTAATCTCTTGCTCTCTTCAATTCTCTCATGAAGGAAATGAACCAAAGAAGGAAAAACCAAGGCAAGAGTGAGAGAAGACAAAAATGTCACTCTAAGAAGTGCTCACCTAATTTCTAGAAAGCTTATCTACAAATAGCATGGTCAAATAGTTCAGTGTAAGACTAGCCTGTAAGACTATTAGAGTGTGATTTGTAATCTGTTCCTATATTTTACTTCCCTGGCACTTCTACTGTCCTAGGAGTCTCAGTGAGAGGTTTATTATCAAAGCCGGGAAGCTTTGTTCTGGTCTGGGCGGGACTCCGAGCTATTGAAAAACAAGCCAACAGAACTATGGGTCTTCAAGCTTGACAGTGTCATTTACAGCGTGACATAGTCACGCTGCAAATGACTAGAGACATTCCAGAGTTCATGACTGGTTGTGTAATAACAACACTTCAAGGGTGTCTGCAGGCACGAGGCACAACACGCCGGAGTGTGTGGTGAATGTGGAGGAACCACTCCCCTGGAATGTGGCATTGCTCAAAGGCAGCCAGCCTTCCTCTCCATCCCTACCAACCAAACGTGCTGGGGGATGGGGGCGGGAGCAGGACAGACTGGAGGGACAAGTCTATTTTCAGGGAATGATAAATTGATGGCGCTGATTGGGTGAGAGTATTTACCCGCCCCCTGCTCTGGTTCCAGGGAGGATTTGCTTCAGAGTGACTTGTATGAGGAAGTGTCACAGAGCAACCAGAACATAAACAACCTGCCACCAAAGTGGACTTCAACCAAGGTAGACTAGAAAATCCTCCTCCCTGAGTGCCTATAGCCACCAAAATGCTGGAGAGGGCATTCCATTCCACTGAGAGAGAGAGAGAGAGGAGACAAGATGGCAGCTCTAAATTACATGTGCAATAGCCCAGGAGGCTTGTAAACATGTAAAGAGTTGATTGTTATTTTCATTCCTGACTGGTTTGGTGGTGCAAATAACAACTCCGTAAACAGCTGAAGCCTGGCCAGAGTGCTGAGGACATGCTTTTGTCACTGTGATCTACTGTGAATGATGAATATTCATAACAGAGTGAATCTGAGCTGCTCCCCAAGCAGGTCGGTTTGTGTGTGAACGGGTCTTGGTATGGAAATCAAGACACCCAGTTTTGGAAGTAAATATGCTTTCTTTTGCTTAATGATCCTTTCCCCTCACCCCAGGATGATCTGTGGACTACCCAAAAGACACTTTGCTGCTCTGAGCGCTAAACAGTCTGTCTGGGCCAGAGAGGCAAGGTTAAGGTCCTCTCCTCTCTCCTCTTCCCGGCCCCCAACACCTTCTACCCCAACAAGCACCATCAAAAGGGACTTTCCCTCTCTAACCACCAGGGTCTCCAGTGGTGAGCAAAGATGGTGTGGTGACAGAAGACGTGATGTGGTTTCTGCTCAGTTAGAAGCACAGGAAAAACTTTCAAACAGCCCTTAGAAGGGAGAAAAACCAAGTACGGAAGGAAGTCGGTGTACCTTCAGCACAGACATTACCCTGCTTTTTTCTTTTAAATCTTTCAGAAATATCTGCCTGTCTTTTGGAGAAGCTCAGCAGGCACCCACTGGCTCTCAGGAAAGATCACTGAAAGAGGCCCCACTAGCAAATGGTCATTTTCACCCACCACTTTCCCACTCTTTTCTCTGATGGGAATGAGATTCAAACCTGGATTTAAGAGATGCTTTTTTCATTTCGAAGTTACAGTATATCACCAGTTTTAGAGGATTTCTTCCTTTTCTTTCTTTTCAGCCAGTCCTTTTAATACCACATAATTCTTCTGGTTATAGATGAGCAATAATATGTTATTACACTCAAGTTGGAGGAAGGGTTGAAACAGCTGTAACCTATCCAAAATGGGCTGAATGATTGCTTCAGATAATGTAATTTTTAGTCTGGAATCCACGTGTAGGTCAACATAGAGGAGACAAAAACTACCACTGTGAAGCAATGTGACTATAAATCTTCTAGGATTTCTGTTGGTTGAGAAAGCTGTACAGCAGGTGGGCATACAGAAACTCCTCAGATAATCCTTAGAGGAGTCAGGCCTTTTGAGATTTCATTGCCTAGGACCAAAAATGTAGATCAGAATGCTGTTTTTCACTTTCATCTCTGCCTCCAGGTCTGTTGGTTAACTATATATGGCAACATTCAAAATGGAGAGCATACTGCCTTAAACTCAGAAGCAACAGTTTTTTAAAATGTGAACTTGAAACAGAGAATACATCCATTTACATGTTGCCTCTTCTTTGTAGAGAAAACACAGACCCCGAAGTCTCCAATGAAATAAACTGTAAAGCTAGTTTATCCCAAATGGCAGTGAATTCTTGCACTCTTCCAATTTCTTCTCCCAAAGATTACTGTGCCCTTTGCCTGCTCTTGCCAGGCCTTTGAGGCATACTTGGGTGGGTGGGATTAAACTTGATGCCTGCTTCCTTTTGGAACACTGTTGACCTCAGGTTGACGCAGAACTACTGAAGCCTCACACCTCCCTTTCTGCTAAAGCAGCAGAAATGCAGAAATCACTCCAGTACTGCTCAGGAGAACTGGCCACCCCCTGAGTGATGGAACTTTCACTAAAGGGGGAAGTTTGAAATGAGCTCAGTTCATCTTCAGAGATGTGCGTTGCTCTACAGCATTAGGAATGAGATGTATGCCGAACAATGGCAGCCATGGTTCTCTGCCTCCCCATCTCCTCCTTCCTGACGTGTCTGTAGAACTAGTTAGAAGTCAAGCTCCTTACAAAGCAAAAGACAGTAATTTAATGCTATAAAATTCTGCTGTTTTGGCAAGCGTGTCCTAAGTACAAACAATAGCAGCAACTCCTTTGGGTCTTGCCCAGCTGGGCAATAGGAACGTTGTCTAATCCGCTAATGTGGAAAGCAGAGTTGGTTTCCAAACCCAGCACGAGCTTGTTAGGTGTCTTGGGCATTTCCCTTGGCATCCATGCCTTGATGTGCCCATTTCTGGGCTGGAGATACTCAAGCCCAACCCTATCTACTGTTGCTTACAGAAACTTAAGGAAAAAGCAGGTTGTCTTTAACTTTCTCCCCAGCCAAAGGTCAGAGACCTCCTCTAGCAACAGCAAGAGCAGATACTGTGTTTAGGAAAACTTCAGCCCCTTTGACCAACTAAAGATTTGCCCAGGCTATTAAAAATGGACTAGGTTGATTAGAACTAGACCCTTTCCTGGACTGTACCACAGCTGTGTGCATGGATTAGCATCTTCATGGATAATTAGGGGCAAAGTTTCCCTAAGCTGGTTTCCCCAGGCCCTATTACAGTGCCCCCCTGCGTCTGTCGCAGAGGTAAGGGTGTACATAAGGAGGGTGATACCAATCTAGCCCTCAGAAAGTACTTCTGCACAACTTATCTTGGGATTTGTGGCCACCTGTTTCATACTATCAAAAGTGAAGTGTGTGGAGAAAGAGAAAAGTGTTCTATACTCAGAATGTGAAGGGAGGCAGCCCTGCAGCTAGGGGACTGGCTT